TCACTCGAGGTCGACTATCCGCTAATGTCTTGCGGCAGGCATACTACACACAAGTATATATTGTTGTAAAGTCAGTACCAGCAAACTCTGCTCCATGCATGCATGAATGTACATATATTTATTCATGTTTATATTGTGATGGATCTAAAAATATTTTTTAAATATATACTTATAATATTATTAGTTGGCTATTAATCATAATTTATATGCAAATGAATATAAAAAATATCAAGGTGACAACCATCAATAAAATATATAACTAATAGACGTATTTCAAGATAAACACTCATCTATATATCTTGAACTGCACACGCATCTGCCACTATATATATATATATTATGAGGTAGAATTTGTTCACACTATGTAAAACTTTTAATTTTATCTTTTTAGTATCGTTAGATGAGTGAAAATATATGGACGAGATTAATGAAAGGAAATAAGAAAATACTTATAGAAAAAATAATGAGATAATCTCAATCATCTATTTTTATTAATCCAACAATCCTAAAAAGACTTGAAGCTAAAAGTTTTAATCGATCAAAAGTTTAATCATTACTCCCTTATATTGTTGGCATGTACATATAAGTACGAGCAAGGATGGAACTGTTGAGGGCACATACGAATCTTTGTCTAATGATAATTTTAGTCACGACTGGTTTCAATAATTGTAAAATTAGATTTTAGATTAAATACTTATTAATTTTTAAAGTTAAACAATTTATTCATTCTATTATCTAATTTCGATTCTGTCCCTGTATATAAGACAGAAAGTGAACGATACCTTGATTTTCTTGGTGAAGTTCCTTTCATTGCGTTTCTTCATGTACCTATGGATCTTTTCTTTTCTTTGTTCAGCGGAGAGTTTTCCAACTTTGTTGAAAGTTGAATCTTCCAAACTTGACATCTCTGTTGCTAATGGAGTTGAGCTCATTCTTGCTCCCACCACTTGTTGATTGTCACAGCTCAGTCCCTATTGCAACAATCACAAATTAAAAGATGTTAAATAATTCAAACATTTTTAATATGATCAAACTGTTATAAAATAATCTTTAAATTTATCAAATTTTTATAGTTATTATAAAGTTACAATGATCATTTTATAATATTTTGATAATTTTGGGTTCCAATTAATATACTCGTTTTTTTTCAACGTGTACGTACCTGTAAATCCCCAGGTTTAAACATCAGTTGCATTGAATCCGGGCAGAAAATTCCGGCATTATCGCTTTGAAATTCCAAGTCTTGTGGTAAAAGTTCATGAGGACCCGTGATAATGTTCCCGGAGCAGAAAATCCCAGAATTATCGGCCGGCAAAGCATTAGTCATCGGCATGAAAGCCGCCATTGAAGGACCACCAAGAAAAGAGCAAGAAGGAGATGAAGGGTTTAAAGGCACATAAGAAGGCATGGAAGACAAACAATCGTCGTCAAAAAAGACGCCGGTAATGGTGGCGACGGTCCCATAAGCGAGGGTACCGTAAAAAGGGATGTTGATCGCCACCGTATTGAGAAAACCCGTCGACGGGCATCTGAATTTGAGGTTGCACTAAAGGGAGGTCGAATTGTTGATCTTGTTGAGTCAAAAACTGTGGAGGAACTGAAAAATTAGAAGGGGATTGACAGTGAGAGAAGTCAATGGAAGCTGAAATGTCATTGTCGATATCATCGGACGAGTCAAAGATTATAGAAAAATTGTTGTTGTTGCTGTTATCATTGTTTTTAATGTTAATGTCATTGTCGGTGGTTACGGTCGTGACCGCGGTGTTTGTGGTGGTAGTGGGAGCCTCTGAAGCCTTATCCATGTAGTTAGTGCTTTCATCAAAGCAAAAATTAGCCGGCATAACTTCGAAGCTTTGCAGACCGATGTCCGAGAAGAGATCGGTGTCGGAAAAATAAAAAACCGGTCCGCTATTCGGACTCGAAACATCATCCTGTAAACATTAATCATGTTAAAACGATGGCGTTTTCTCGTACGAAAATTAGGGTTTGTGAAATGGAAAATGCATGGATCCTTAATTATATGTAATCTAAAAGATGGATTAAAATCTCGAAGAAAATAACAAATCTGCAGAATTTCATACGTAAAAACACATGCAACATAGTTCATAAAATCACCTAATACATACATACATATATGTATGTACGCATGCATGCATGATGAAGAAAGTGGAGAATTACACTGGGAAGCTGCTGCTCTTGTGGATGAATCATGTCCTGCAACATTGTTTTGCTGATTTTTCAAAAACTATGAACCGTAATAATCAAATCTCCTTTGAAATAATATGAAAAAGAAAATGTTTAAGCTTAAAATGTAATTAAAAAAAACCAAACAGATGACAGAAACAAGTTCACTTGAACAATGAAAAAAACAAGACAAGATGTAAGAACAAAAAAAAAACAACAAAATTAGGTTTTTGTTTGGGAATTTTCAGAACAGAAAAAACAAAGTGTGTTAAGCTATTGCAATGGAGAGGGAAGTTTTAGGGTCATGGAAAGCCAAGTTATATAAAGAGGGTTGGAGAAGTTTTAGGGTTATGCCCGAAACAGGGTTGCCACCCTGGCACTCTCTCCATATCCCTACGATATTCACGTTTGGCCACGGGTTTCGAAAATACGATACGAATACATGACAAAAACATGGTGGATTTATGTTTGGTTTCTGACGTGGCTTGTTAGGAAGATGACACTTGGAATGTATGACTATTTGGGTAAGCTGAAATTGAGCTGACCAAGTTTCCATCCAATTCTATCGCTGTTTGCTTGGAAATTAAACATGTTTCTGTTCTTAAACTGCACATTTTCCCTAATAACCCGCTTGTTAAAAATCAACACTACACTATCAAAGTTTATGTCCATGCAATAAAATATCGAGTTTTTTCTCGGTTGAATCGAAATTTATTGATTTATTTATAATATTCGTTCTTAAGTGAGTCGGTTCAACGATTTCAAAAACTCGAGTATATATATATATTAAAATTATCAAGTACATTTTATATTAGATTTGCATGTCAAAATTGTCAAATCAATCGGTTCAACTTATAAATAAGAATAGAAGATCTAACCGGTTCAGTTTTTAGTATATTAATTAAAAATCGGGTATGTAATAATTATAATTTTTTCATCATTCCTTTAAAATTTCAGAATGGATTATAAATATACATGAAATCATATCTTTGGAAAATCCCGGAAATCTGAAAAATACGCCGAAATATACTGAATTTTATAGAGAGGAATACCGTACGGATCAATTTGGTGAATTGACCCACGAAAAATGAGGAGGTGATCGAATACGTACGGTACGGCAACCGTGCGGTTGCTATGGATTAAGTCAAACCGTACAAAGTACATTACAAGAAATCCGTATTATTAGGTAGATTGATTTGGTACTATTTTATTCGCGGTTTAAATAATATTTTTCATTGAGTTTTTAGATTCAAGTAATTTTTTTTGCAATATATTGTTAATAATTAATAAAAATATATTTTTATAATTTTTTTTTGGTAAACTCATTCGATCTTCTTCTTCTTCTAAGTCGCTTTTGCTCCTCTTTATCAAATCTGTCGTTTTTCACAAAGGCTGTTCGATTAGGTCCTCGACACTGACCTTAGCGTACATTGGAACGCAGCCGTTTCCAATAGCTCACAGGCAATGCCGGCTTTACCACTGGCGGATATTCATTAAATATGAAAACATTACAATTTCACCACCTTGAATCTGTGAGGCTTTCACCCTATATGCATGAACAATGAACATCCATTTATGTTTCAGCTATAGACAGTAACAAAACTTACACATTATGTGAAACTAAACTTACTTGGCTCCCCAAATATATGCACCCAACATCTCTGTTGTGTTTTTAAATGTATGGAAGCTTACAAGGAAGGACACCGATACCAAGGACGTCAACGAGTTCCACTTTTGGAAGACCGACAAGCTACTGCAGTTCCAATGGAGTTGTGTTCATGGAACAACATTTCCAAGCAAGGCCAGCTGGGCCTGGTGATCTTGAGTTGTTGGAGTAAAACAGAGGCAACCCCTTGCAACGATACGAAGAAGAAGAAGAAGAATGTCTTTTGTTTTAGTTTTTAATTGCAACGGTCGAGAAACTAAAATGTTATGGACTTATTACATCCCCTTCGAGTAACTCTGCAACCTTCTTTGTGAGCTGATTTGTTTGTTTTTAGCTTGATGGTTGCGTAAGGGCTTTTCTATTTAGTTTTGAGTTTTTATCGTTTTACATACTTTGTCCCATATTATATTTTATAGTGATTTTAGTAATAAAATAGATTGTTGATATTTTTTAAAGTTTTAGATTCTAGTAGTTGTATCTGAAAGGCATGTGTGCGTTGTCAATTGATTAAAAAAGTTCTAAACAAATATTATCTTATAATCTCTCAGACTATTCAAAAAACATTTTTTTCTAAACTCATCAAGCAATTTCAAGTATAAAAATAAGTGTCATTTTTTATTTTGTAATCACTCAGACTATTCAAAGAAAATGTTTAACTTACAAAGTAAAACAATTCAAAAGATAAAGATCCATGAAATCTATTATAAAAAGATATTAACTTACCCATTGGCTTTTGGTGTTTTATCTTTTGAATCTTTATTTTTAATCTGAATATTAACAGTTAATTTTATTATCTTTTGCATCTATATGATCTGTGCGTTATTAATAATTAAGTATATTTTTTATTATCCTCCAAAAATTCGGACTTCCTGATGACGACGCTTCAACGGAGTTATAAAAAGAGAGAGACCCTCTTATCTTATGTTTCTCATCCATATAATGGTAAGTTTTCCCAGAAAACTCCTGCAATTTACTAATCGTGACTGTTCTCTGCTCTCACCGGATTTCGAGTACCGATTAAATATATAACACTGTATCACCTAACAGCATCTGATGAAATGAAAACCGATCTCCGGTTTTATATGTATATTCTTTTTAACATCTTTCATGTTCGAGATTCGTAACTATTCTTTCGAACAATGTCAAACGCTGCAAGAAAACCATAATTTATAACTTACAAAGTATTTGCCAACCACGCTCAATCTAAGCCCCCCAAAAATGTAGGGCAAATCATGTATGGTACAAATTAAAGAATAAAGAATGACAATTCCGATACTGGTTTTATCATTTCAGCTTAAAAACAAATAAACTTCAGTCTTTCTTTCACTTGCTTTCAGTTTCGTGATGCATGTGTAAATCCCCAAAGCTGCAAAGTATGAAAAAAAGAATATGAGATTCCATCGATGTTGCCCCGACTTATCGAATATATATATATATATCCAACATGAGCATCAGACACGGAAACTTCAAGAAAAATAAAGACTCGAAACAACAAATGTAGGGCTACTAACACCTGGTAGAAACTAAATTACCTCCACGTTCTTTAGTTCGAAGTTTTCGTTACGAGCCAAACATAGGTTCCCGAACGTTTCACAAGGTCCACTAGTTCCACTCAACCTATTGTAAAGAGAAAAGAAACTCATAATGAAGAGAAAATATGTAAAAGTAATTTGCATGGATGTCTAGTTGTAGGGACTCAAAAAGAGAGATCGACAAATAGCAACTTACAGATCTCCGTCGAAGCTCAAAGCAAAGTTTCCACCACCTCCGAGTGCTAACATGTCATTCATACATATATAATAATAACGATTCACACCTGTTTAGATAATACGATGCAATAAAAAACCATTCGGCATCTCGGGCATATTAATGGTCAACGGGTATTTGATAGCATTTAGTAGTAAATTGAACCAATTAAGAGAACATTTCAAGTAGGGTACATGTGACAGAAACAAATAATACATTAAAAAATTCAAAGAAAATTGAACATACTCGTGTCAGATACATATCAATTTCCGAAACTCACTGAAATCTAAGTAATAGCATTGAATTAATCTTTCCCTTCATGCATGTCACAAAATTTTCCAAGCATCATAGAAATAAAGTAAACAAAATTGCATACCAGTGGTTCTAAATAGCCTCGGTTCACCATATTTGGTTGTGAATACGAAAGTCTGGTTCGTTCCCTGTCATGAAAGAAGAAGAAAAAAGCTAAAAAAAAGCATAAGCTACCAGTATATGGATTAAGAAATGAAAGGACATAGAAACGAATTGCGTAAGCATGCAACAAATCAGAAGGAAAAACCATATCGTGTAAAACAAAACTACATTCAAAATCTAAACCGGCACCTGTTGCGTACCTGATATTTTCTCTTCGGTGTAGGTATCAATGGACATTCTAACATTGCCCCAAAGACAGCCCCTTGCTTATCTCCAGTAATCTGTAATTTATACAACATCGTGTGAATAATACAAAGTACTAAAAACTAATCAAGCATTAAAGACTCGAACAACTTCTAATAACGGTTGCATTTGTTAAAGCATAAACATCAACATACCAGCAAACAAGGGCCAGGAAGTGCAGCACTCTTACGAATTAGAGTACGAAGTGATATACCATGCTTTAACGTACTGCCCTTCATTTGAAAAGAGTTAATACCAAATCAAGATCAAAAACCAAAAGCAAACTGCACAGCTTATCACAAAACTTACCTATACAACAACATCCATTCACACCCTTTAACAATATTGGGAAGGGAAGACATTAAGAACTCGTACAAATCATAGCTAATGAATACAGATTCATCAGAAAGTTTTGGTGTAGGCTTCATTGGACTCTGCTGTCCACTTGCTTCTTGAAATTCTTCAGAATCAGTACTGCTCCTTTCAGAAACGTTGTCCCTATTCTCACTATGAGGACTAAGTTTAACAACCATTTGCTTATTATCATCATTATCAATCCAAATTTTCTTCTCATCTTCACTGGCCTTTTTTAATTCCCTACTCGTACAAGGAGTGGTGTATTCTTCACCACTATTTGGGGCTTCATATTGCATCTCGAAGTTGTTATGACCAAGTTTAACAACCATTTGCTTATCCTCATTATGAGTCCAAACTTTCTTCGTATCTTCACCAGTCTTTTTAGTTCTTCGCTTGTAAAAGTGGTGGTGTATTCCTTACCGCTGTTTGGGACTTCATGTTGCATCTCTAATTTGTAATTTTTCCATCTAATGGGATGCGACTGAACCGGCTTTAGACTAGTTCCATTATCATTCAATTCAGACTCACCGTAGCTTAGTGAAGGGATAATGTCAGAAACTATTGAAGACACAGATTTTGACCCTTTGGAGTACCATCTGGCCTACACATCCGAAAGTTTCATTTCATGAAATCATTCAACTAAATTTCATAACTTTCAAAACTTTAAGTCAATGAAGCTATTGATTCTTTCAAAACATAGAAATGTAGGTGAATATATATGTGTGTGTGTATACATATATAATGATTTGGTCATTCCAAAGATCAAACAACTGAAACTTTAAATGAAAACCCCCCATTAATTTAGATCAATATATGAAGTGGATTATCTTAAGCCTAAACAATGACAATATTTTATGAGAGTTTCAGCTACAAAACATGTACAGTAAAAGGAACATGAAAGATAAAAAAACATATTTTATGAGAAATAATAAGCACATTTTTATCATCTGTTACCAGTTCTTGCACTGTCTAAGCTATCAGAAATAGATTGCTTTCTTATCAGGACTGTATCTTCCTGAAAATTTTAAATTCTCGTATAATTTAGATATTTATTTGCATTTTCTTTTAATTATCTAATTTCATTCTTCTAACATTTTGTAATTTTGCATCCCTGAATTTCTAATATATTTCTGAACTACTAACACAAAATCATGTGTATATCCCTATTTGTTATGAATAAAAAAACCATGAAACAAACCCAGAAAATTTCAGTCGTTTTTCAAAGATCATAAATAAAACATATAAATATCACTGCCCAGGTTGAAGAAAAACCCCACAGCAAATCAATAGGAAAAAAAAGCTACATTTGCTAAAACGAGCCCAGATCCATATTCTTAAGAACAAATATATTAGAGGAAAAAGAATCACCTGAGAAAGATCTGGCGCAGAAGATGGAGGAGAAGGAGACGGTGAATCTGCAAATAAACGTGAAAGACTTCCCGCTACTTTGTCTTTCAACGTGTACATTTTCACCCCAATTTTTTCCTGGGAAATAGATATATACACATACAGATTTTAATCCATATATATATAAGCAAATTAATGATTTTTTTTTAGAATTGAAGGGGAAAAATTAAAGTTCTCTGGTTTGAATAAAGACTAGGAAGACGATAAAGAAAATTATGGGTGAGGAAAAATTGAAACAGAGGAAAGCAGAGAAGAGGTATTTGATGCGTTCGGCTTTTGCTTTGCCATATTTTTTAACAAATTAAATTTGTACTCTTGTTACGTAAACGATCCTACGTTCATTTTTATTTAACTGTCTAATATATATATATATATATAATATTTTTAATGATATTATTTTAAATGTCTAGTTGTTATAGTCATTAAAAAAACTTGTTAAAAATTAGTCAATTAAATAATATTTAACACGTGAATTATTTTTTTAATTTTAAAAATAAATTTTATAAATTTAAAAAAACTTTTGAACTTTTTTATTTCACACAAAATATATCACAAATCATAATATCATAATTTATAAATTTATAAACCTTAATTTCCTATTTGATAAAAAATTGTTCGGAAATAGAATCTAATAACTAGTGAGTGGATTTGATGTTAACAATGACAATAATTCAAAGGAATAAGAGTTTTAAAAAGATAGAAAATTTATCCTCAACTCGAGAGCTTGTAAAAGGTTGTATTATTATAGACCCCGTAAGGTGATTTTAGTGATTAGAATTTGTGTTATTTCCTTTAGGTTTGGGTGAGCGTTATTAATAATTTAAAACTTCTTTAAAAATATTATTTTATAGTTATTTTAAATTATTGAAAAATTATGTTATATATTTCAAATATCTAATAATCAAATGATTATTTATTGGCTTAATGTAAAAAGAGTATCTAAACTATATCGTTTTTCTTAAAATGGTGTTAAACTTTTTTCGGTCAATCCAAGTGCTTAATGTTATAAAAGTTATCACTTTAGGTGTCTCGGCCTTAATGACCATAAAAATATTCCCGTTAAATGACATGTGTCGCACTTAAATTTTTTTGAAAATTTTATTTAAAATAAAAAAGTTAAAATTATATTTTAAAAAATCCAAAATTTTCAAAAAAACTTTATAAAATCTCTAAAATTTTGAAAAATCTAATACCAATCCCAAATATCCACACCCGTCGCTGTCGTTTATCGTTGTTACTGTCGATAGGATTTCCACCAGAACCTCCACCCAAAACCCATAAATCATGACAAACAATCGACAAAGAGAATGGCGAAACCGAACCCAAAATGGTGAAATCATGATACCCAGACGATCTGACAACGCTCACGACGACTGAGAAGAAAGATGTCAAGATAGTGGAGGCAACGGCCGTCGTGGTCGGTAATGGTGATGGTAAGGTTATGGTTTAGGGTTATTTTAGAGATTTTTAGGGATTTTTTTTAATTTTAGATAAATTAAGATTTTTTTATAAATATAATAATTTTTAAAGTTGTTTTAAATATTTTTTTTAAAATTACTTGAGCATGACACATGTTACTGAATGACGAAATTCAACGTCTATTACAGTCGAAACACCTAATGTATTGGGAAAAGACATGTATATATGAGAATACCTCTTTTCATCTTTGTGTGATTAAAATTGGCACAAATATAAAAGATAACAAGAACACAAAATTTTTTGGTGACGCGCAAAACCCAAATAAGAAAAAACCGCAGGACGTTAGTCAAATGCAAACTTGCATCCCATTATTATATGAGTATGGATACAAAATACCTCATCCAATTAGGATGATTTACAAAAATACTCGCTAAAAAATGGTGTACTCTATCTTTTTCTCTCTCTCTTGAAGGAACTTTCTTTTGCCTTCTATATGCAAGCCTTCCCAAAACCTCATATTTATAATAGAGCAATGGGGTAAACAAAAGTCTCATTCATATCTTCTAGATGAATTCACCATAAATGAATAAATCATTGAAATGCCAATTTACATGAACGTGGATGGTACATTTCTCTAAGTCATGTAATACACCTTCCTTGCTAAAAGATGATTCATCTTCCTAAGATCAATTAAGGAGGAACACACCCAACATAATACAATAACATTTGTAATATTAAACATTTGGATTAACTGAAAAATATTTTAGACATCACTTTAAGAGAAACAATATAATTTAGACACTTTTTTATATATATTAAGCCTTATTTATTCATAAAATGGGATATAATATCTAAAAAAGTTGTGTAATATATAGGTTGATTAAGCCATATAAGGTATTAGTTGTTCGACTATGAACTTACTGGGAGAGCCGACAAGCGGTGCTGGAGCACTGCAACAACAATCCATCGGCGACCCACGAATCCTACATACCCGAGCTCTGAAATCCCCACGATTCGATCGTTCCATTCTCAACAATTTAATCACTGTCTACTCCAAATCCAACCTCCTCGATTCCTCGCTTCGCATCTTCAATCAAATCCCATCGCCCAACATCGTCTCATGGACTTCTCTCATTTCAGCTCACTCCTATTCCCCACTTTCCCTCTCTTTGTTCCTCTCAATGCTCCGCCACCCCATTCTCCCCGACCAACGAACCGTAGCTTCTCTTTTCAAAGCCTGCGTTTCGCTTCCTCGTTGTCTTTTCTTCGGCCTTTCATTGCACACTCTTTCTTTCAAGCTTTCCCTCAATACCCAACCTTTTTCCGGTTCCGCTTTGGCTAATTTCTATTTCAAATATCGACTTCCGATGGATGCCATGAAGCTGTTCGATGAAATGCCTGAACGAGATGAAGTTTGCTATGCAGCGGTGATTGTTGGGTTGGCGCAGAATTCAAAGCCGGTTGAGTCTTTATCTTTGTTCTCTGCAATGAGATCTCGCAATGTGGGTTCTACCATGTATAGCGTTTCCGGGGCGTTACGAGCGGTAGCGGATTTGGCTGCTTTAGAGCAATGCAGGATGATTCATGGGCACGCGGTTGTTGCTGGGTTCGATAAGAATGTGATTGTGGGGAGTGCTTTGGTTGATGGGTATGGGAAATCGGGGCTTGTTTTGGATGCATGGAAGGTGTTTGACGAAAATGTTGATGCGATGAATATTGTGGGGTGGAATGCTTTGATGAGTAGTTATGCACAGCAAGGCGATGCAAGTTCGGTGGTCGAGTTGTTTCAAATGATGGAGGACAGAGGGTTGGTGCCAGACGAGTATAGTTTTTTAGCTGCGCTTTCGGGCTTTTACAATGCTGGCTTGGTTGGTGAAGCGGAGATGTGGTTGGTGAAGCGGAGATGTGGTTGAAGAGAATGAAAGTGGAGTATGGTATAAAACCGTGGCTCGAGCATTATACATGTTTGATTGGTTAATTGGGCAGAGCTGGGCGACTGCTGGATGCCGAGAGGATCGCAATAACGATGCCGTTTAACCCTGATGCTGCAGTGTGGAGATCATTGTTGTCGAGTTGTGCTCATCATTGTGAACCAGATATGGCTTTGAGGATGGCCAAAAGGTTGCTAGAATTGGATCCTCACGACGATTCAGCTTACTCGATAGCTGCAAATGTCTTATCAGCTGCAGGGAGATGGGAAGAGGTTGCTGATGTGAGGAAGTCGATGAAAAATCGGAGAATCAAAAAGGAAGGCGGGAAGAGTTGGATAGAAGTCAAGGGGGAAGTGCATGTGTTCATGGCAGGGGATAGGAAGCACCAGAGAACTGAAGAAATATACACAAAGTTGGACGAGTTAATGGAAGCCATCGAAAAACTAGGATACAAACCGGTATGGGATGAGATGTTGCATGAAGTAGGAGAAGGGGAGAAAAAAGAAGCACGTTGGTATCATAGTGAGAAGTTGGCTTTAGCATATGCAATAGTGAGCGGTGCTGCACCGGCAGGGAAGCCGATAAGGATCATAAAGAATCTCCGAATCTGCAAGGACTGTCACGAAGCTTTTAAGTACATAAGAAGAGCAATAAACAAGGTGATCATTGTAAGGGATGTTAACAGATACCATAAGTTTCATAGTGGTAGTTGTACTTGTGGGGATATTTGGTAACAGTCTTATCCATTTCGGATTTCCGAATCCGAATTTTGTTTAGAACATGGAGAGGGTGTTAGAATTGATGATCCTTTGAAACAATTGAATCCCAGAGATGATTTTCAAAACCAATCAAGGTTGAGTGCTATAAGATGCATCAATTAACCCAGAGATGATGTACACGCGTGTGTAACACGTGGTGAAGGAGCAAATTAATAAAATATATATTTTTTAAATTTGACAATATCTTAAAAATGAAATTGATGGAATTTTTAAGATGTAGAGTTAAATTTATTTAATTGTTTTACATTAAGACCAAATTAATAAAATATATATTTTTTAAAGATTAAAATTATTACTATATCAGATCACATTGGACATTAAGCTCAATTTTAATTATGAAATAATATATTTATAATGATATTTTAATTAAATAAATAAATTATAATTTTTTAAAATATATCATTTATAACCGAGGACTTAGTGTATTTTACTCTTAAAAACAACAAAAAATTATGGTTAATGGATCCCACAGGCGATTCTTTCGCCAATTTAACAAACTCTCGAAGTTGGCCGACCCCTGGTTTAATGGTTAGATTCCCAGCGTTCATCGTATAAACAAACCCAAAAATTTATAGCTTGAGTACCTCCATCTGTTTTATTGTTTTCCGAATTCAATCATCTCTAAACTAAAACACCCACAAGTCTGATTTGTTATCAACAGCTGAATAAGCTCTTCAACAAGTCAACCCAGATTGAATAACCAAGTGGGTCTCCTTTTCTCTCTCTCAATTTTTCATTTTTTTGGCGATTTGATTGTTGAAAATTGAAAGTTCGATTTTTTTAATGTTTTTGGGAATTTTTGTAGTGTTCCCAAGGGTGAAAGTGAAAGAACAGGACCAAGATGATCAACATGTTGTCAAGGATTACAAGATAAACTCCGTATTGTCTTTGAAAGATGTTCTATTTCTCTCCATGCTTGATTCTTGTTTTCTAGGTATCCTTTCTCTTTGCTGTTCTTTGAAGTTTCATTGCTCTGTAAAATCAGTTTCTGGGATAAAGGTGTAATTGATTATTTTGTTTTGATTGATTCGATACATGGTCAAAGTTGAGTGATTTGTGTAATTATGTTTGTCTCTTAAAGTTTATGGAATGCTCATAATCATGTTTGATATCCATTCATGAAACATGAAACTAAGAGCACTCCACATGTTTGATGTTTTATCTCTCCCATGCTAAATTCTAATATTCACGAGTCCGATAAATGAAAAATTATGATATGAATCCTTTTCATCACGTCTTCTATGATCTGATGAGTAAATATGGAAGTGGATGGTTACTTAAAAGTTAATTATGAATAAATTAGTGACAGAAAAAAGTGAATTTTATTAGTTGGAACTACATATATCCTGTTGAGGACGATTCATGAAATGATTTTTCCCGATAAGAGTTTCTGTTTTTTTTTTTATAATTAAGAATGTCACATGTTATATCTCATGTTCATATGGAGAAAATGAAAAATCATATCATGTTTGGCAGTGAAAAGGCATGAAGATGTTTCTCAAATGTCCACAGCAAGAATTCCAAAGTCTTACCTACCAGAAGTGGAGAAACATTCAGATTCTTCATCTGAAGGTAGAGTTTTTTAGGCACTTCCTTGAAGGTTTTTCGCACTTCAAATAATGTCGAATATGAATACGCATCTGATATGTATATAGTTATTCGACAGTACCCAATATCCTTGTACTCATATACGAATATGTATTGTATTCGGATGTACAAATATTTCATGCTATGGTTTAATTCAGTAAGATTGATTTGCAGGATCAGCCAACGGCAAGATAAAAGCTGAAACTGAAGAGGAGGAAGCTAGACCAAATATTAGAGTGAGTTCGACTCCGCGTCCTCGGGCTGTCATATCTAGTCCTGGTAATTACATTGTTATATCGAAGTTGTTTGTCTATGTTATTCGAATTCGAGTGTACGTGTCGGATATATATATATATATATATGTCTGAATATCCGTTTACCAGGCTATAAATACACCTACGTGAGGTACTCACATCTGAATCCAAGTAACATAGGTCTAGTTCATTCTATTTCTTTAGAAAGGAACAACTCGGTGTATGCAAAAGGCTTTGCAGCATCATTAGTAAACTTGCATGCTAAAATAGAAACATGATTGCAGGTGGAGCCAGGGGCTTCATGCAGCATCCTTAAACAATCTGTTATGTTGTTTTCTATGACATTCATTTGGTGATGTTTCTGCTTTTTTTTATATTAATTCAGACAACGATGCGGTGATCGGATATAAAAACAAGATCGAAGGGAGACAACGGACAGGTTTGAAGAATCATAACACTGTTCAAAATCTACACATGGCTCAAACGCATATCTTTGCTAGAAGTCCTGTAAGAACAAAAAAGTCCAAGGATGATGCCGATGACTGTAATGTCGAAATTAAAGGGAAGAAAGGATCGAGACCAACTGTTTCAACTCGGAGAAAACACCCCTTGACTGACAGACCAAGCTGGCAAGATCCCTAGAAATTTTAGCTGCGTAAGTGTTTTTGTCTCGGTGCTTGAACTCAAATGTCAGTATAAAATATAAACTAAAATTCGATTTGATTTTTTTAATAACGAGTTATTAAAGTCGATATGAATTTCAAGTTTGAGTTGAATTTAAAAATTGTCCGTCAAATAAATGTTGGTCAAGTAATTTAGAAATTTTATGATTTATTCTAATTCCTTCAATTTATCTTTCATTTTAAATATATTTTTATCAAATTTGAATCGTATCTCTCTAAAACATTATTTAATAAATATTTATCTTCATTTCCTTTCTTACAATAACTTTTTTTTATTTTTTTATTTAATCCTTCAACTTTACATGATTTACTCATTTATTTAATCCCTTCATTTTAAGTGTGTTTTTCATCAAATTTGAATCACATATTCCTTTATCACTATAGAATTCTTATATAACTTCAAATCTTAATTTTAACAATAAATGTATTCTTTTTACAATTTAATCTATTAACTTTATATTTGTTCTCTTTTAACCACAACTTTTTACAAATTGTTTATTCTCATCAATTTCTCGACTCTTTTATGTTTTCATCAATATTTTGTTCTCAAATATTTTTTTAATAAATAATACTAAAAAATATATTTCATAATTTTAGACTGTATTTGATTTATTAAATAACATTAGAAATATCTAATTATATTTTATAAAGTAGATAAATTAGAACCAATCTATACTATAATATTATAAATAATTATAACTAATTTAAACAAATATTCGAATAACTCAATTCAACTTGAATTTTGTATTAAATCGACTCTATTTTTTATAAATAAAATTTAAATAATAAAATAAAACTTTTCAAATCGAATAACTTAATTTTTATTTTTTGAATTCTTTTATATCTTTTCAACTCATACCCATCTGAAATGACACAATGGGTTATATATATATATATATATCATCAGAACTGTAACCATCAAGTGATCTCAATAATTAAAGAAAATGTTGTTTTCCTTAAAAGTCCTAGCTTTAAACAACTACGTCTGTAGAGTATATGTGCGTTATCAATAGTTAAAAAGATTCTGAAAAGATATTATCATCTAATCATCTTAGATTATTAAAATAAATATGATTAATGCAAAAATGAGTGCCTAAAGTTAACTTTTGGTGCCTAAAAATTTTTCATTAAAAATGGATGTCTAACGTTTCTAACGCTACACTTTTAGGTGTCTGGACTGTAACTGTAACACCCCCAACCCGTACCCGACCCAGATACGAGTCTGAGGTGTCACATTGACTTCTCAAAACATTTACTTTTACAAAATACCCAAGATTCATTTTGATATTTCTAATAAAACCATTTACTTTCTATGATATAAAACATATGGTTTTACAAAACTGATCAGAGCGTATCTAATACAAATCTTTTAACTACATGCCAACTAGATTCTATATAACAAAATACATGTTATTCATTTATGTTTTGATCTGACCTTCAGTAAGGAGAAACTAACATGTCTTGCTCCTCTTAGCTTCTCTTCCTACTTTCCTGAACCTACGTGTGAAACACTCACACGCTAAGTCATAGACTTAGTGAGACATATAAATACATATGTAAATTATCAAATGCATGTACATATCATGTAATACAACGTCATACTTGTATACATACTTTTTCATGTAACAATTACATACACATATGCATGTCATCATTTATATTTTCTCATACTCTTATATGATTATCCTTTCTATCTCTTATCTCTTGTTCATATGATCTCTTATTTTCATATTTTATATCTTATAACATGTTCTTACAGCATCATATGAGTCATTGATATTCATTCATATATATATATATATATATATTAACATATATTCATGTACATCACATAACAAATGCCATAACCCATAACATACATTCTTTCCTGTAACACATACACACATTCACATATATCCTCATATAAAACATGTAACACATTTCTCATTACAACTCACATTTTATTGTTATCCTTTTTGGTTAGCCCATGCACACTACTGAGAACTTAAGGTATATGAGTACATAGAGGTTGTGCACTATGCTGTCACCACAGCTCGTATAATTCTCACTAGGAGCTCGTAGAATTTGTCCCGAAGGACCACGTAGATGTCCCGAAGGACCACTATATCCCCGAAGGACCGCGTAGACCCTCGACTCTTGGCATGCCAACTATACCTATAGCTCTCATAACACATGACATGGGCATTATCTTTTACCTCATTACACATTCACATGTTCATATCACATAGTTCTTTCACATAGCTCTCTATCACATTTCATATAATCACATAGTCACGTAGTTTACTTTCACGTAGCATTTTTCCATGAAATTCACATTATTCATCATTTTCACACATTGTCACATCACATAGTTTTTTTTATCTCATTTCATATAGTTCACATATACCTTTTTCTCATATGCATATAACATATTATTTCTTATCTTTTAACTTATATTACATATGTATGAAATCTTATGACTTATTATCAATATCTCATAGATCACTATCATTCAACACATATCTCATAACATGTAATGCAACAAGGCATATTCACCTAGATCACAAACATAGAGATGCAATTAAATCTAAACATATGCATAGACTCAAATTTCTCTGATCATCATATCACTACATGCTTACATCTGGGTACTCATATTACCTAATATCAGAATTAGACTTCTCGCAAGTCATAATTCCTTAACATAACTACACTTCATATCATGTACTCACCTGATCACCAATAACACTACCAAGCTCTTTCTCTTTCTTGCGTATCTTACTTTGACGACCTATCCGAACTTTGCTTTCGATCGATGTCTTTGCTCTTGGCTTCCACGTGAAGAAGAAAGAAAAATAAAAAGAGAAGAAGAGAACTCTGGAGAAATCTCTCCCTTTCCACGTGGTTCCCTTATCTTATAAAGGAAAATAAAAATCTTACTTGTTAATTGACCATTTTACCCTTTAATTCATTCAATAATTACTAAACAACCTTCAACTATATTTCCAACAAGTCATTGAACTATTGAACTATTCTACTTTTATCACCAAATTTCAAAAATTCTCATTTTAGTCACTGACCTGGATTTCGGGATGTTACAGTAACACCGTTAAATTTGATCGTTAAGTGACACATGTCACATTTATAAAATTTTAATTTATTTTTAAAACCCTAAAATTTTATAAAATTACCAAAAAAACTCAAAATATTTTAAAATTCTAATTTTAATCCCTTTGCACTATCGGTAGCCACCAACGTCGTCAATCGATCGAACACCTACCGTTGTTCATCTGTACAACCACCCATGACTAAATCCCTTATTTTTCGACCGGCCAAACAACCAACAACCTTGTAAACATAAGATTTTCGTGATAAGTTGAAAGAGGTTCTCCACTTGTGATTGTCGAATTTTGGCTATAATCACCGCACGAAGCATGAGGGTTCGACCAGTTACACGCTGTCGGATTTTCGACTGATTAACAACGTTTGTGGCGACTGATGGTGGCAAGGGATTGAAATTAAGGTTTTTCGGTATTTTATGGTCTTTTTATAAATTCAGAAAATATTAGGTTTTAAAAAAATAAATTTTAATTTTAATTTGTTTAAAAAAAATTAAAATTTCATATGCCTGACACATGTAAGAAACGATATTTTTTAACAGTCGTTACATTCTAGAGACCTAAAAATATAACATCGGGAACGTTACACGCCTAAAAGTGTAATGGAAAAAACATTAAACACTTATTTTAACAAAAAAAAATCTTTAAACACTTAAAATTAATTTTAAATATAATTTAAATACTTATTTTTATTTATTTTTATAGTAAGCCAAAAATATATATAAATCGTCTGATCTGAAATTATCTTATAGGCAACCTTATTGGACAAAATCTGGCCACATCAGCTCGGATTACTCGTTCACCCATACCGTTGCTACCCCTTTTTTGTTCTTCAACTTCACACTGCCAAAACCACCGCCACTGATTCCATTTTGCTGTCAGTTTTTAAGTGACAATTATATCATGGCTGCAACAGCTGCGCGGTTGGTTCACTGTTTTCTCAATCCATCAACACCGTTAAATGCATGCGTTTCAAGCAACTCACGCCTGATCACCATCATCAATCCCTCCTCAAAATCCCATCTGCTCCCCTATTATCTTCCGTATCTCATTTTCATCAACTCCAGCACTCTTACTTCACTCACGAGCTTTTCCCCACCGTGGGGACCATTCAGAAGCGGCGGATGCTTAAGCTGTCCGCCGCTGTTGCTCAACACGAGACGGCAGCAACCGCCCCGGTGGAAGACAGTTTGGTGGAGGAACCCGAATCCGAACCCGAAACCCAAACCCAAACCGAAGGTGAAGTTGAGTCTGCCGTGAACACAAGCTTTACTTGGGGAACTTGCCTTACAATGTTGACAGTCCCCAACTTGCTGGGATAATTCAAGATTATGGCAGCCCAGAGCTTGTTGAGGTACGCCATATGTGATTAATTAGTTTAACTAAACAATTAATTTCTAATTTATTAAGCTTATTACATATTATAATCGAAATTTAGATGTGAGTGTCGGATATGAATAAAATAGGTTAATATGATGGTGAATAGTTATCATCTAAGCATTCTATTTAGGACACAGATGTCTTTTGATTTTCTAATTTGTTTGTATGATTATATTATATAGAGATAATAACGAGTATATATGATCACAAAACAAAAAGGATCAAAACTCTTTAACATTGATTATCGATAGATTTTATGAATGATTTTCAGGTACTTTACGATAGACAAACAGGGAAAAGCAGAGGCTTTGCATTCGTCACAATGAGCACCGTCGAAGATTGCAACGCAGTTATCCAAAACCTTGATGGAAGTGTAAGAATCCTATGTAAAATACTCATTATTTCAATCAAACATGGAAACAAAACACGAACACGACACCAATGTTTCGATAGTTCACACAGTGACTCATCTTCCGGTGTGTGTGTTTACCAGGAATATCTTGGTCGGACCTTGAGAGTTAACTTTTCCGACAAGCCCAAACCGAGGGAGCCGTTATATCCGGAAACCGAATTCAAGGTTTTCGTGGGGAACCTGTCGTGGTCCGTGACATCGGAGAGCAAGCTTTCCAAGAATATGGGGATGTGGTCGGAACTAGGGTTTTGTACGATGGTGAGACAGGAAGGTCTCGAGGTTATGGCTTCGTTTGCTACTCAACAAAATCAGAGATGGAAGCTGCCATTCAATCTCTCAATGGAGTGGTACGTATTTACACACACACATATATATAGATATTGATTCTTTTCGGTATTAAATTTTTGGTTAAAATATACAAATATTATTTTGACTATAGAATGTTGTTTTGTTAAGTCTCCACTATAGAATGTTATTTTGTTGACTATTCATATGTTCTAAACTCGTCCTTTTTCGTTAAAAAATTAACGGTCGTATGAGTTAAATGTTAACATGTTCATTGAGATATGATAAAATCATATTTTAAGATTGTTTACTGGCACCGTTGTTGCTTTCAAGCACTGACTCGGCGACCTAATGTTCCAAGCATTGACTCGATGACATAATGTAAAAGGAGAGTCAGTCCACAAAATATAACTCAATCGGTTCTATGATTAAATTTTATTATATTATAGTCAACAAATTAATATTCAGCTCAGACAATCATCAATTCTTTTAACATAAAAGGATAAGTTTAGAATATATGAATAGTTGGATGATTATTTTATACTTTTAATAGTCGGAGACTCAATAAAATAATATTCTATAGTCGATGGTCATTTTATAACTTTTAATAATCAGGGGACTCAATAAAATAATATCTTATAGTTGTAGATTATTTATATATTTTACCCTAAATTGTTATTAATTTTGAAAATAATGTGACAATTTTATCTTTGTTTGTCTTGCAGAATATTAAATATGTTGGAATCCTATAAATGGCGAATATGAAAAAAATTCACTAATGGTCTGTTGATTGATGTGTTGGATGGAAGAGCATTGAGGGTGAGCTTGGCTCAAGGAAGACCATCATAAACAAAATTGAAGATATGGATTTCTACAAAGCATTATTGACTCTAATTTGTTAATTTCTTACAAAAGATGGAATATTAAGATAATTTGTTTCATTGCGCTGATGAAGTGTGGTTGAAGATTTTGAAGAAAAAAATTACATTCAAGTTTAATATTGAGAAGATTTTTTTTTTTTTGGAATATGTAAAGCTGATCTTTATTGAATTGAAAACAGAAACAACACATTACAATATAAAAGAAAGGCAACAATTAAGCAAATAAAGGAAAGACCTGGAAGCTTTGAAAAGAAGCACACCATTAAGCTCCAGGAAAAAAAGATGACTCATCCACTTCGAAATCAAAAAACCAAAACAAAGATAGAACAAAGTAGTGGCTGAGTAAGCCTCTTCAACCGTCGGTGGAGCTTCTTCGATCCAAATCATGACCGATGAGTACCGTCTGCCCAAATCTGCAAGAACATGTGCAACAATATTCCTCTTTCGATTGACATGCATGAAAAGTAAGAACTCAAAGTCCTTTTTTCTGAAATATTAGAATACACAGCAATCACTAAAGATCTATCCATTGTAGGAGACACAACTTCAGAAATAACAGTGAGGGCATCCCCTTCAACCTCGATGCATCGGAAACCCAAGTCCTTTGATAAAATCAAGGCTTGTTCACAAGCAAACGCCTCAGTCATCTCAGGGTTCAAAATGAAAGAATTTGGGTAAGTACCCGCTGCCATAAGAAGTCCATTTGAATCCCTTAAAACAATTCCAGAGACTGATTGAAGAGTAGACCGATTAAAGCTAGCATCGAAATTGACTTTAATTTTACCGTCTGATGGAGGGATCCATTGGTTTGAGGTATTTCTTGTAGTTATAGGCTGATGAAGAGAAGCATTTATCTCCTGCGCATAAGTTCGACAAAAAATTAGCGACCTCCTGTGCTAACTGTATAAGACCATGCAAAATTTTATTTCTAGAGCCCCATATAGCCCAGATGGCAATTACCATAATTCGACGGTCATTAACACTGAGGGAGTCAAAAAGATTAGACAACCATAGGAAAAAATTCTGCTCAGCTAGACCAGATCCCATGGAGATGCCCAATTTCGAGAAAACCTGTTGCGAAAAGGAACAATCATGAACAGATTCAATATTCAATTGGCAAAGGAGACAAAGAGGATGAACCGCTATTCTTCAAACCAACAAATTCGAAAAGGTTGGAATATAATTGTTGATGAGCCTCCAAAAATGAATTTTGATCTTGGAAGATAGCGGGAGTGCCCAAACGGAAGAAATTTGGTTTTCCAACCGTCCTCGAAAGAGCTGGGGTTATTGGAGCCATAAACAGTGGAGTTAACAGGCCATCTATAGCCGCTACGGACTGAGTAGAGACCAGACTGATCACCTCGCCAAATACGCTGGTCAGGAGCCATTCATTGGAAGAGGAATGCACAAAATTTGAGCAACTTGCTGGTCAGAGAGAATAGCTTGAAGAAGATCTACATTCCAGGTACAATCTGTGGCATTAATAAAATCCTCAACATAATTAAGGTTATTATTAGCAGAATTTCTACTAACTTGGCCATTACCAAGACCCGAAATGTAAGCATCGTTCCATATATTGATGGATAAGCCATTGCCATCAATCCAACCCAAGCCCTGTTCAAGAAGACCACGAGCACACCATATGCTTTTCCAAGTGTAGGATGGGTAAGATCCGAGGTTTGCTTGAAGAAAATTTCCAGAGGGGTAATATTTGGCTTTTAAAACTCTTGACAGCTGGCTGTCTGGTTTTGTAATTAGCTGCCACCCTTGTTTTGACAACAAAGCGAGGTTGAATTTAGCTAAATCTCGAAAGCCCATGCCTCCTAATTTTTTAGGGAGACAGAGGTTACTCCAACTCGACCAATGAACACCTCGTTTAGAGCCATTGTTAGAGCCCATAGATAAGTGTTTATTACTCCAACGATCAACCTTCTTATTCAATCTGTCTCAAAAATGAGCGAAAGCTGCTTTTTACCACGACCCACCATCTTAGGGAGACTTGGGTATTTCTCAAGATTCAAAGAAACACGAACACCAAACAAGCTTCCTATAGAAGCAACAATTTGACTTGGAACATTCCCACTAAAATAGATAAGGGATTTTGTGTAATTGACTTGTTGGCCAGAAGCTGCTTCATACTTGGTAACAAGGTCCTTCGTGTTGCGTGCTTCAATTTCAGAACTCCCCCCCAAATAGTATGCTATCGTCTGCGAATAATAGATGAGTAAGTGGAACAACATATCGTCCACCCTTAGGATCACTAATAAGACCAGAGTGTTTAGCCAAATTGAGCAAAGACGACAATGCTTCTGCACGAATTAGAAAAAGATAAGGACTCAACGGGAGCCAAATTAAGCAAAAACGACAATCCTCCTGCACAAATTAGAAAAAGATAAGGACTCAAAGGGTCCCCCTGTTTGAGACCGCGCGTGGGCTGGAAAGAATCACCATTTATGCCATTAAATTTGACAGAATAAGATACTGATTTTTATGCAATGCATAATGATATTTACCCATCGACAATCAAAGCCCATTCTAGAGCATCATTCGTTCCAAAAAAACTCCATTTAACCCTGTCATAAGCTTTTGTCATATATAGCTGCAAAGTAAAAGACCCTGAATTCCCGGTTTTCTTAATTTTCATAGAATGCAGCAATTCATAAGCTATCAGAACATTATCCGAGATTAATCTTCCAGGGATAAATGCGCTTTGAGCTTGATCAATACAACACTCGAGGAAATCGCGCAGTCTATTTGCAAGGACTTTAGCAATGATTTTGTAGAGAACAGAGCATAGCTTATAGGCCTAAAATGATCCAAAGTCGATGGATTTCCTATTTTTGGGAATAAGAACAATACTCGTTGTCATAACCATTTTTTTAAACTGATTGTTTTTCGTAACCATTTGTTTGTAAAACAAATATGACTCTCGTCACATTCATTTTGTCAAGTTTAAAGGATCCATCAAAGACAGTGCTACAAAAGTTGATGATGTCATTGCCAATAATGTGCCAATATTTTTGATAAAATATGGCTGGAAATCCATCGAGCCCCGAAGCCTTAAGAGGGGCCATATATTTTATGGCAAGATAAATCTCCTCCTGTGACAAGTCTGCAAATAATTTTTTATTCATTTCTGTCGTTATAGTTGGGCGGATCTGCTGTAATAGTTCACTCGGATCTGTAACTATGTAGTGGTGAAAATATGTTGAAAGTGGGAATCCGCCATATTTGCCATTTCAAAATCACTTGTTGTCCAAACACCATCGTCATTTTTTAGCTTACTAATTACGTTCTTCCTATTCCGATAAGATGCCCAATTATGGAAAAAATAAGTATTTATATCCCCGTGGTGTAACCAATTAACACGAGCTCGTTGTTCCCAAAAAATCTCATCTTTGTCAGATTCCAAATTAAGAGCCAACTTAACATCCACAAGTTCCGCAAGGATTTCATCATCAGGATCCACGCTAGATAATTCAATTTTACTTCTTCTTCTAGACTTTAAAGTTCTACACCAAGGCTTTATTTTTGAACTCAATTGCTGAAGTTTGCTAGGAACATCATCGTTTACCATCGACCAACAAGATTTGATAAGGTCCTCAAAATCATCTTCAAGAATCCAGTTTGCGTCAAAACGAAATGAGTGCATATGGCCTCTTTGATTATCCGACATTGAGCCAACCGTATCAATTAAAACTGGACAGTGATCCGATATAGCACGATTCAAATGGCTAACACAATAGCTGGGAAAAAGATCCCGCCAAGCTGAATTTGCCACAGCTCTATCAAGCCTTTCACGGATATTGTTTGTTGATAACCGACCCCTTTCCCATGTGTACCACTTCCTTTATAGCCTAGATCAACAAGACCACAGTTAAGAAGAGTGTCTCGAAATTCACCCATTCTATGGGAGGATCGAATACGGCCACCCTTTTTCTCGCTTGCCAATAAAATTTCATTAAAATCCCCTACATAGATCCAAGGGAGGTCACGACCAGTACTAAGTTGTCGAAGAAGGTTCCATGAAGTAGCCCTTTGGCTCTCAATGGGTTTCCATATAAACCTGTAAACCTCCGAGCAGTGGGACAATCTGGATCAATAATTTCTACATCAATATGCGACAAAGAACAACTAATAAGAGAAACCTGCAGATGTTGCGACCAACCTAGAGAAAGACCACCTCGAGAACCATCAACAGCTACATCAAAACCACATTGAAAGCCACAACTCCTTCTAGTCCTCTCCATTCTTTTTGCCGAAATTTTAGTTTCCATAAGAAACATAATTTAGGGACGAACCCCTCTAAGTTTATTTCTGAGACGTCTAACTACCCGTAGCTTCCCCAAACCACGAACATTCCAGCTAATAGTTTTCATTGTGGACGGTTGGCCTGGTTAACAAGGCCTGCCGACAAAAGAGGCAAGACATCATTTGAATCTGCTGAATTAGAAACTCCTGATGTATGAGATTGAAGACGTTGGCGTTTGGGACCTTCAACGGGCTCCAGTGGATTATCTTCCCCCCGAATATCCCATAATTACATACATAACTTCAGCGGGACCATTAATTGGCTCAAAACGTGTTGAATTATTAGCTGTAGATGAAGATGGCACATGCATTGACTTTCCTTGAGACTCGCCTTGATTGGAATCAAGATTTGAATTTGTCAAATTTAAGGGAGGCTTTCCAGGAGTAACTAACGTTGTGATTGGAGAGATCCAGCAATGATTCCCAGAATTAAGGGATCGTAATGCCACCGGTTCTCAACCAAATACTGGACGGTGGTGCAACACGTCGAGGAGGAGCACGCAACGATATATCCCATTCCGAAACAATCTGTTCAGATCCTCTAGCAATCTTCACGGGGCAAAAACTTTCTCCATGGCCTAGCATTCCACAGATAAAGCAAAACACTGTAATTTTTTCATAAGAAAATCGCACAAAATGATGTTTACCATTAGACAATAGCAGCTTCTTTCAACATTTGAGGGGCTGGCGAACATCTAATCTTACGCGAATACGCATAATTGCTTTGTGTCATATTCGATAAAAGACCCAATGAAATTCCCTAAGGAGCGAGCAACCCTTTCGAACATAAAACCATGGGGAACATCGGAAATAAGAATCCAAAGGCAAAGATGGTTTAACGGGACAGTCTTCGGATCCTCACCATGTTGAAGCTTATGTAGAATCAATAAGTGTTTATTAAAATTCCAAGTACCTCCCAAATCGATACGATTAGCATCCACTTCATTGTATAGCCGAAACAAAATCATACCTTCTCCCATTTCCAAAATAGAGATCCCTCCCACCGGATGCCATACGTTTGCAACGTGAAGCGCATCGACATAAAGTTGATAACACTTGAAGTGAGGAAGGAGCCAACAAAGCAATGATCATATTCTTCCTGGGATTCAAAATCTGGTTGATCTATTTCCAAACCATCATTCTCCCCAGTACTAATGTAAAGTGCAGCCAAATCATCTTCAACCGTAGCCATAGATCATAAGAAACAAACCCACTGTACCAGCAAAGAACAAGAGGAAACCTGCTATGAAAGCAGAGAGATTACATTCTTTAATTTCAAAATGATCATATTGAGAAGTTTTTATCAATTCACTCTTCGGATTAAGTTAATATCACATGCCGTGTCATACTATTGTTATGCGCATTTCTAGAAAATAGATCATACATCATAGATGATTATTCACTTCAAAAAAAAAAATCATACACCATAGATGATAATTTTAAGCGAAAGAATAATTATTGCGATATCAAGGTATAAATAGATATACACAAGAGATGATATTTAATGGATTTAATCTTTTCTATTTTCATAGTTAAGATACACAATAATTCACTATAATAGAGAACACGAAGATAACAAATAGTACAAATATACGATATCACATGCATCTCAAATCATAGTATATATATATCAAAATATAATGTATCCTTAAACTCTTCCAACATCTCTACAAAATTATCTTCTCAATATAAACCCCCTAAAGTTACATAGATCCCACAAAAAATGATTATATCCTTCAAAAATAATTATTTCTTATAATTCTAAAGGCTAAGATATAAATCGTATTTATAGAGTCAAATATTTGATAACCCAGAAACTTTATTATTGTAACTCAATTATCAATTAATCTTCCACCGCTAGTATTACAATAAAATATAATTTAATTACTAATTAAAATTTGAGTAAATATCTAACAATCTCACCATTGACATAAGTTTCGTCCACACGTTGATCTTTAAGTCTTCGACAATTTCAATTCTTATGTAAAGAAGTTGTTGAAGACTTGGTGACGGTATTTTAGTGAATTCGTTGAGAATTACTTTAATGCAGCCGAAAACTTAGTGCAACAAAATTCTTTTTGCATGTCTAAAAAATTGCTAACAAAATCTGCAACAAAAAAAATTCTCTAAACTTCATAACTTGAATCATACCCTTGATACCATATTTTTAGGAATTTATAAGTGGAAAAATAACCAAAGAGATATCAATAGATAAATAGATCACGCACAAGAGGTGTAATTTAATGTGGTTCAATATTTCTTACCTCCACAGATGAGAATAATAATAATTAATTATAACTGTAAAGATTACGAAAATCACAAAGAATACAAAAATATGATATATCATGTATCCTAAAACTCGATATACATATCAAAATTAGGTATATCCCTAAATATTCTTCCAGCACCCCTACAAAACCATATTTGCAATATTAGTCCCAAAAGTTATATAGATCTCAAAAAAGGATTGCATCACTCCTAAATAATTCTATCTCATAATTCTAAAAGCTAAAACTTATTTCATATCTATAGATATTAAATAAATTCAATTACTAAATAATCTGAGCCCATAAGATCTTTCATCTAAAATAAGTATTTAGATATTAAATAAATTCAATTACTAAATAATCTTTAAGTATTATAATTATAATTATAATAAAATCTAATTAAATTATCAATTAAAATTTGAATTATTATCTAGTACTTTATATAATAAAAAAATCAACACATTGTTAAAGCAAAATTACCTTTTAAATTCTAATTCTTATTTTCAGACACTCAAGTTTATTTTGATATCCTTAATATTAAGTTCCCTAAACCAAAAAGACACAATCGGAGGCAGCAAGGACAGTAAACATGTTTGTTTTCTTTTAAGGTTGGTGGGCATGTGTCAGGTCTAAACAACAGTTATTATTTTTCTTTATGGAGAATAATTATTATCCTTATTTTAATTTAGCACTAATTAAGGATGGAATAAATCACGATTTAAATTGAATAAAAAATATAAAAAATTACAATAGATTTGTTTTGCTAAAGTATCGAAACAGCTTAAACTTTCGATGGAAGGCTTATAAATGGATAAATATTTTCAAGATTAAAGCATGATTTTATATAAGAGGTATAAATTTTTAGAAGTTATATTATAAGTCTAAAATAAATGAAATTAAAATATTTTAAGGAGTGTGAAAATATCATTAATATAAAATACATATAAAATATTTTAACTATATAAAAATTTTAAAAAATGCACCTACCCTCCAACACCCTCTCGATAATTTTTCCTTAAATATAATATATTTATAAATTCTTATATATATATATATATCAATGATCATGTCTAGTATGATGCGATGTTAAGTCCTTTAAATAAAAATAAATATTGAAATTATAATATTATTAATAAATAAATAAATAAGAAGTCATAATAAATTTTTACGGTACTTAATTTTTTTTTTGAAAGGACGATACTTAAGTTAGATTCATTGGATAAAGAAACATATATAAATAGAAAATAATGATTACCCAACAACGAATACTTGATTTAGATTGTACCGTAATTTGATTTATTGATCTAAATTAATATATTGATTTAAATAAATTCCCAATTAGACTAAGAAAATAAGTATAAAATTAAATCTTAAAACTAAATTTAAGTCATGTTTAATTTTTATTTGTTATTATTGTAAATATAAAAGGATATATTCTAGTATACTTAAATATATAATATTTTTTTATTTATGGGTGATGGAACGTTTCAATAGTTTAAATTATATAAAAAATAAGTATTAAAACATATGAAAAACATAAAATCCTAACGTGTAGGGCTCTCTATTCGAATATATTTTAATTCCTTAATCCTTATTATATATTATAATATTTTGTTTAAATTTGATTCTTAAAATTGATAAACTCTCAAACTACCATCTAGGATGGACATGAGTCAGTTTGGTCCACCCGACCTGACCCGAGAAGAAGGGGATCTCCACCCGTGACCCTACCCGATAAAATTAGTTTTTTCACCTGACCCGACCCGAAATAATAAAAAAAATTATTTTTATTCAATAAAAACAGTGATTAAATTGAAAAAAAAATATAGAGGGGTATTATTGTAATTATTCCTAAATATATATGGTAAAATTATATATTTTTCCGGGTCGGGTCGGGTCGGTTTTTTTCACTCTAAACCCGAACCCGACCCAACCCGAACAACACATAAAAAAACCCGACCCGATCGAACCCGTATTTTTTTAAAAAAAATCCGACCCGATCGGGTCGGGTCGGAACCCGTCGGATTCGGGTTAGATGCCCATCCCTACTACCATCCCATCAAAAGAATTAAAAAATGGGTTTAAAAACTTCAAGGACTAAATTAAAAGGATTCTGGTCTATTGAAGCTAAACCCAATACAAGCTGGTGCATCAGACGACTTCTTAAATTGAGACCAGAGGTGCAAAACTCTTTCCTCTCGGGCATTACTAAAGCTAGCTCGATATGGGATTCCATTCGGGCGAAAAACCAGAAGGTCCATTGGCATAAACTCGTTTGGTTTCCCCTGCACATTCCAAAACATAGTATGATAACCTGGATGGCTTTTCTCGACAGACTTCCTACCAAGGATCGTCTCCACCGTATCGGTCTTATTAATGATTGCTCTTGTCTTCTTTGTAACTCAGCAGTGGAAACTAGAGACCATCTTTTCTTACTTTGCCCTACTGCTATTTCTCTTTGGGAACAAATCTTCGCTTTTTCTGGTTTGCATTTTACAGGATACTTATGGGAAGAATTCTTGGAAATGGCGAGCTCAAACTGGAAAGGAAAATCATTGTTATCTACTGTAATGAAGATTGCCTTGAATGCATTGGTTTACTTGCTTTGGGAAGAAAGGAACAGAAGACTGTATCACGGCCGATCAACTCCTGTTACTGAACTAGTTAAGAATATTAAATCTGTTGTTTGTCTCCAACTGAATGGTAGAAAATTCAATAAAGTTGATAATATGAATCTTATTCTCTACAATCATTGGGGTATTGCTGACCAATGAATTTTATAATGTAATTATTTGTATTGAACTCTGATTGTATTCTGTAGCGTATCGCTATTTGGATAATAAAATTTTGACTTATCCAAAAAAAAAAAAATTGCAAATACGTGTGGAAATATAGCGTGGATAGGGAAAAACCCCTTTTTTATTTGTTCTTTTTGTTTTTAAGTGCCTACAAGGAGTTCATTCACAGTAGCCATCTGAGGCAACAAAAAATCCAAACACAGTGAAGAAAGAGCTTCTCTCAAATCTATATTACTAAAGGTAATCACTTTCTTCCATCTCTCTCAATACCATCTGAGATTTCTTCCCATGTTTAATGTTTTTTTTTCTGGGTTTCATTGGTCTGGTTTATTTGAGATAATTAAAATGTGGGATTTTTTGTTTTTGTTTTTGCTGGTGCAGATCTTGGTGCAGTGAGTGCAGTGTTAGGATCTATATAAAAAAGGATTCTTTTTTTATTATTATTCATTTGGGGTTTTAAGGAGGTTTCATCAATGGCATCTCCTTATCCCATTCCAGTTACTGCTACTCAGGTACTTAAAAAACCCTGTTTTTCATTGCCTTTTCCCTCTCTGGTTCTTTAAAAAGTTTTGATTTTTATTGATTATTTGAAATGATTTGTTGAAAGAATGATAAAAGAATATGGGGTTTTGTTGTTGTTCATTATGTTGTGTTTTTTTCCTAGGTGGGAACATATTTTGTGGGTCAATATTATCAGGTACTTAAACAGCAGCCACACTTGGTGCACCAGTTTTATAGTGATTCCAGTACCATGGTTCGTGTCGATGGTGTTAACAGGGAATCCGCCACCGGATTGCTGGTATTTCTCTGGCTTATCGAGTTTGCTTTGTTTGATCTTTGATAAAACTAAGTTAATTTGATGCCTTTTTTTGCATTTTTTGGTTCAATGTGTTCACAAAATTTTTTAGTTCATTAAATGTATTTAGTGTCTGTTCTTGTTATGTCGATAATAACGAATCGATCGAACGATGGCGTTACTAACATTCTATTTGTAATTAATACACTTCTATGCAAGCAGTGATAGGGTTAATGGTTTTGTTCTTGGTTTAAGTTGTCATCAACTATCTCGGTAATGGAACTATAGGCTTAATTTTTTCCATTTTTTCTTTTCCTATTTTCATTCGGAAGCAAATCCATTCTCTTGTTATGTCGCTCAACTTCACTGCGATTGAGATAAAGACAGCAAATCCCCTAGAATCGTGGAATGGAGGTGTTCTGGTGATGGTTTCTGGTTTGGTGCATGTCAAGGATTTCAATTCCCGGAGGGATTTTGTGCAGACATTCTTCCTTGCGCCGCAAGATAAAGGCTATTTCATTCTAAATGACATCTTTCACTACATTGACAAGGAACGAATTCACCAACATCGTGCAGTCCTATTAGCCAAGCACAATCTTGATCGCGATATCAATGCTTTCGTAACAAATCCTAAACCAGGTATTTCCTTTCCGATTTCATAATGTGAAGTTTATGATTGGTCCCAAATCAATGCTTGCATTCCTTTAAATGTACTTACCATCTTAGAGAGAGTACTACGTTTACGATGGCATTGCGATATACACAATCTTTTTCTGGAATCTCCGATTTCCTTTTATTGTTTGATTATAAATTGATTCTGTAATATGTCTAATTGTCTATGCACTATTATTGTTCTTCGTGATAAAATTGCTCTGAAAAGTAGTAGTATGGTGGCTAGTAAAATTTTTATGTTTTGGCTGATAACATTAATTCTCGTAGCGCCAAGCTATATGCTGGGAGGAGATATCCACGGACGGGAGTTTTTGGCTCCCGTCAGTGCCAAGGAAAATGGTCTCGTTGACAAGTATAGTTTCCCGGAGCAACAACTACAGCAAGTTCTGGAATCTGAGAGTATTGTGGAGAACAATTGGGTGCACGAGTCCAATGCCAATGGTTCGTTTCTACATACAGTGAACACTGTCGAAGAGCATGTGCCTCCTACTGTTAAGGAACCTGTTGGGGAACCCCAAAAGCAAACATATGCCAACATTGTACGTTCTATGTTTGGTGCTCTATTTTATGCCATTCCTGTTTTTTACGCTTACGAGATATCTGTGTTTATTGAATTAGAAAATCGACTTCTTTTTGTCTTACTAATTTTAATTTATTTTGTTTTCTCCGTGTGATTGTCTATGTTACAGGTTGCTAAAAGACAACCTGCACCATCATTCGGTCCTCAGGTTTCTGTTAACATGAACACGACACCTGCTTCTGGCTTGGATCATGATGCAAATCACACTACTCTGCAACCCGTTTTCTCTAACGTAGTTGAAGTGTCTAGTGTTGATATGGTTGATGAAATTTCACCAGGAGAATATGAAGGTAAAAAAGCTTATGTTTAACTGTTTTACTATAGGGGTATGGTGACATGTATGAAATGCTAATTCTGTAGAAACTCTACAAGATTTTATTGTTGCAAATCTTAAAACATTCTGTTTGCTAGAATTCCGAAACTAAACTCGGGTTGTTGATTTGCTGTTCGTTTGTTTTAGGTGAAATAAAATCTGTTTATGTTAGGAACTTGCCCACTACCGTGTCTGAGTCTGAAATTATGGAAGAATTCAAGAAATTTGGCGAGATCAGTCCTGATGGAGTGGTGATTCGTAGTCGCAAGGTTCACTTTTTAGCTTCTTCCGTGGTACGATCACGGTATCTGGCTTTTAATGCTAAAATATTCCGTTTGTGTGCAGGATGTTGGCATTTGCTATGCATTTGTTGAATTTGAAGACATGACGAGTGTCCATAACGCCGTCCAGGTCCGAATTTACTCCTAGCACCTACGAATTCGTCTTAGTAGCTGATCTCCTCTGTGGAAGAACACTGATAGCCATGTGATTCTTATTGTAAACTAATTTAGTCAAATCCTATGTAGGCGGGAAGTGCACAGGTTGCCGGACAACAAGTGTACATCGAAGAGCGGAGACCGAACAGCTATATACCATCTCGAGGAGGAAGTATGTACATCTTTCCCTTTTCTTTTAATGGATGTAATTCTTTCCTGTCAGGATATGTTTTATTGCGTGGCGGAAGTCTAAAACGAGCATCGTACAACCTCCCTTATAGCTGTCTAATGACAAATGTGACATCAAGAACATTTGTTTTACGATTCTTATCGAAGTGGCTAAAATGTTTCATAGGGAGGGAGAGAGGACGAGGCCGAGGTCGAGGCCGAGGCATCTATCTGATGGAAGCTTCGAGGGGGCATTTCGGTGGTCGAAGTTATGGTAGGGGCTGTAAATATGATGGAAACAATCAAGAGTACAGTCGATCAAGAGGAAACTGATTTTACAGCTCAAAGCAACATATTATTCAAAGGGATGAACAATTTTTTGAATCAAAGGACTTTCCAAATCAAAGAAACAAGAGTTTTAGAATGAAGATGGAGAACAATTTTTTACTGAGATGAAATAAGAAAGGGTCTTTTTCCCATAAAATGAATTCATCTGGGAGAGAGGAGTAAAAAATAATTATGTTATTTTCTTCTTTAAGCCTTTTCAACATTACAAGAAAGTTTGATCTTCTGGTTTTGGGTAAACTACTCATATCATCACTCAACTTTCTCTTCACTCTTGTTTTGGGTACTAAACTCTTGAATATTTTAATTGTCATTCTCCTAACTATTATGTTATTTAATTTCTTTTTTCTTTTTTCCTTTTTCCTTTTTCACCTCTTTTCCTCTTTCTTCTTTTTTCTTCATTTCCTTCTTTATCCATCTACTCAAATTTTGATCATTGCTTGTTGCGATCGAACATCGTCAGTCAGTCATCGTTGATGTTGATCGATGATTCGCAAATTTTTTCATCAAAATCATTTTTCCCTCTTGAACAAAAATTTAATATTTGTTTAATTGAAAACACCTCAAACTTCATCAATCTAGCATTAAACACTTCAATTCGTTATTCCCTAATCGTTTGTTACTTTATTGGGACATCTCTACCATTGGGACATTCAATTAGAGACTCTAATAATTGAAAATCCATCAAAATCGAAAGATGGACTTTTTGAAGACTAACGAGAGTCAAATTTGAGTTGGCACCTATGTTGTTCAAGAATTTTCGAAAAACTTAAATCAACACAGAGTAGAGTTAGAGAGATGACGGTTGAATGATAAAACAATTTCAATATGTAACGTTAAATAACAAAAGTGGAAATTTCGTGATTAAAACATAAGTGAGAAAAAATTTGAGTGATGATTTTTGTAGTTTACCCTTTCTCTTTTGAGCCCAAGTAATTGGTTTCGACTAATTTATTAAGTCACTATATCAAAATTACAAATGAACTATGATCAAATATGGAATGTGATACATGGAATTTTGTTTTGTGGAATTATATTCATGAAACTTTGGATTCGATTTAATTATATATATATATATATAATTAATTTTGATTTAATTGAACATAAATTAAAGTATATAATTATTTTATGTATACAATATGTATTACGTCGATAATGACTTTAGTAATATGTGAAATATAAATTAGATTAAAACAAAATTTTATGCATAAAATTATATATTTCATAAAAGTTTTATGTATAATTTGAATAATTATCTGTTTTATTTAAAAATTATATTAAAAAAAACCTTTGTCGCTGGTTTTTTTGTTACACCACCTGGGAAGAGAACCGCCTCCCACGTCAAAGAAACAACGGTTTCGTCTCTACGACCACAAATCTCACACTAATTTTCAAATGCCCTTTCCAATTGTTTTCCTTTATTTTATAATGGACATTTCATTTTTTGTTGTCACTTTTTGTCGTCCTACATGGCATACGACGACAAAGGGTCGACCGTTTGTCATTAGTAAACGAAAGATTATCGGCGACGAAGAAATAAAAAACATCGACGTTACTAGGTTGCTGTCTTCTGTTTTTCGTTAGGCTACGTAATGAGTGTCTTGCCACCCCTATTCCACTTGTTGGAACTCAATATCATCTCTGCCCAAGATTTGAAGCCGGTATGTCGTCGCACAATGCGAACATACGCGGTGGCTTGGGTCCATTCAAAGCGAAAACTTTCGACTCGAATCGACACCCAAGGTCACACGGATCCTACATGGAATGATAAGTTTGTTTTCCGTGTAGATGATGAGTTCCTCAATAGTGAGACCTCCACCTTAATGATCGAAATCTACGCCGTGCATTGGTTCCGCGACGTCCATGTAGGGAGTGTACGAGTCATCGTTAAGAACCTTATCCCGCAGGTTTCTCCGATGCATGGCCGCCACGGCCAAGAAGTCCAATTAGGGATGAGTTTCGTGGCGTTTCAGGTTTGGAGACCATCTGGTCGACCCCAAGGGATTTTGAACATCGGGTTGGCATTGCTCGATAATTCGATGAGGAGCATGCCTTTGTATTGTCAAATTGGATCGTCTGCGGTCGATTATCGACATTTGATGGGCGAAGAAGACGCATTTCAAAGCTCTAATAATCTCAAAATCCTTTCGAGCACTAAAAGCAATACCAACAAAAATCACCTTTTGATTAATGGCCCAATCAAAACGGAACTTCGACGAACCAAGAGTGATTCAAGTTCGATTTTGGAATCATATGTAAAGCCTAGAAGATCGATGAGAGGATCGTCAGTCGTCAATGGTGGGTCAATCATTACTGGTTCCGAAATAGGGAAACACAACTACAAGGTTAATTCAAGGGGAAGTTCATTGGTCAATCACGCGTTCAACAAAAGTTCGGGGATAAAGATGAAACCAAGTTCCATTGTCAATGGTTCGAATGATAGGGGTGCGCCGAAAATTTGGACCAATTCAGAAATCGGTCCATCACCATCAGAAGTGGCGGCAACGGTGGCGAGGAACATGTACCGTAACAAAATGGAAGAGGCGGAGAGTTCGGTGGGTGAAGGGTGGAGTTTAGATGGAAGCATTGAAGGGCTCGAATCGAAGCTAGAACGGTGGCAAACCGAGCTCCCACCAGCTCATGACCAAAGTATTGACATGGCGAGTTTATTTTCCGATGAGGTTCCAACGAAGATGACTAGAAGGTCGAGACATTCTAGAAAACGGGCTCACAAGAACAAGAAGGGATTGTTCTCATGTTTTGGAACCATTTGTGGATGTGAAATTTCCGTTACTTGTGGGTAAAGTTGTTGAATGTCGGATTAGTTATTCGGTGAAATTGATGTGGATTATACACTATTTAATTATATAATCCATTCAATATTTATAATATTTGTATATATTTCAAATAATAAAATATTTTTTGATATGACCATATGTATCCGATTTGTTACTCCATTAATCTAGATCGTGCCTAAATCTGAATCTATCTCCACCCCCAATCCCATTCAATAACAAGACAAACTCCTTTTCCATTTTGAAAACCCTAATTCATGGAAGAACACAGCTCTACATTCCTCTGGAGACCAAGCCTTCCTTCGACATCCACTCCAAAACTCCATCCCGAAGGAGTTTCCGACACGGACACGGACACAGACTTCCTCAACCAGATGAAACATGCCTGCGAAGTTGCTCAGCCTAAAATCAACATGTGTATCGAGAAAACCGACATGAATGGCAAAGATAAAGCTACCATAATCCTTTCAAAGAGCAAAGCTCTGGGAGTTGATCACATTATCATAGGACAAAAACGAAGTCTCTCTTAATCAATACTTGGGTGAATTTCCAAACCCTTTTCTCCCTTTTTAGTTCCTTAGCGTATGATTATCGTATCAAATACGTAAATTAATCTCGAATTATACATCTTTCAACAGTTCACATAGATAGTATAAGAAAAGCAAGAGTCAAGCAACGTAGAAAAATACTGCTTTGAACTCGAGTAAGTTTTGAATATAGAAACCAGTCTATATGGGTACATTCAGAGAGTCCCTTACAGAATGTTCTCATAACATGTCTAAATATGCGTCGAACACTGACAATATAAGGAAAATAAGAGTCGGAACAAAGAACAATTACAGTGCTGGGATTATGAAAATATTGGTGGCTAGAACAAAAATGAACCGATTAAACCCTATGCGAATTGTGCCGACAAAGATCAAATTTTTGTAATGAAAGCTACATCATTTCAAAGTTCATCATGCATAGGTTGCTGTAATGGGAGTCCCTTACCGGGAGCTACATTACCGTCGAATCGACCTTGGTTAATACCTTCTTCTACAGCTTTGCGAGCAAGCTCTGGTTCTCCGGCCATTCCAGCTCTTATGGCAGCAGTAATTGTCCTCTGCAACTTAAGTATGCCTATACGCTTTGAAACAACGTAAAGTACAGCAGACGAGAACAAGACAAGTCCTAATACGAGTATCACCCTGTCCAGACAAAATGTAGAATAAGCCCGGACATCCTTAGACAGGTAGTCATTACTAGAATGTAAAGGAAAACCTAACCTCTTAATAATACCTGTCTATAACATCGTGGCGTTGCATCGTGGACAGTAAATTCCGAGTTCTTGAAAGCAATGATTTGTGCCCCTTGTATTCACTTTCAGCCTTCTTTAATACGCCCGTTGATTCCTCTACATATGCAACATGTAGGACATAAGTCAATAAATCGAAACATAACTCTAGTCTATGTTCCGAAATCCGAAGCGGATTGGCCAAAGCAACATAGATAGAATTCTCTCAGTTTCTTAAGGAGAACATGAACATTCAAACCTCAGAAAAACATGACTTCATACGCTAGTACAAAATCTTCTAAAACTACACTACTTTCAGCAAGTTTCGAAAAATAAACATTTTGGAATAGGGACATCAAGACATACCGAAAGTCATGAGTGTGCTTGTGCTTCTTTCGACCTCCTATATACATGCACAAGTAAAGCAACAAAACCATAAGGAACCATATTTAAGACCATCAAAGATAAATCAAAACAAAGAAACAGAAGTGAAAAAAAATCATGTTACTAACCTGAACCATCAATTGACGGGTACGGCGAAGACTCTCTGTGATGCTTTCGGCAGCAGATGTCATTCCAGCCTTTGTCCTGAAAATGATTATGAAAAGGGAGCAGAAGATCATTCTATTTTTCGTTCAACAAAGTTAACTCATAAAATCCAGGGATCCTAGGCTAATTATTACATCAGTGAAGGCCAAATAAATATATAAAAGAGAAAACTAATACATACTGCAAATTGCGCCGACGAACCGTGGATTCTTCTCCACCACCGAGAAGAAGTTCTCTCTACAAAACATAAGAAAATATAATCATGACTGAGAACCGAAAAAACAAAACATTTCTCACGATGTAATCAACAGCATATCTATCAAACTTTGTATGGAAAAGTAACAACATATCTACCAAGGATCTAAATTACGGTATGCATTCCCCATTGCATCATGTTTATTATGGTACAACTACGGTTGATCTCGATTACATTAAATATCAAAAGCAAAGGGAATAGAAACCACAAAGAAAACAACAATCCATGGCTATTACTATCACTTTAGCAGTACCTAAATTTTGCTTCAATCTTAACAAATAAAATTTCCTACCTCTTTCTGAGCAGTTTTCCTCATATTATCCTTTGCTTGCAGATTCGCATTTCTCAGACTCATTCTCAAACTAATCACAGTAATAACAAAGAAATCTCATCAGTAAATGCAATTAAAACACTAACAACAAGCTTTGCTAAATCATAGCTAAAACCAATTAACAATCAACATAAAACCATTTCAATCAGTTAAAACAATAACTAAAAAGAAAAACCTAAAATCAAACAACAACAAAAATCCGCATCTTTGATTCAAAGTTATCAATATGGGGTCTAAAATAACCTTTGAGATTGGTTTTTCCAAGTTTCGAGCATAGCTTTAGCTGACTGGACCTCCTCATCGGTAGGAAGCTGCGGAGCGAGAAGATCGAGATTGAATTGCAATGAATTAAGCAAATTCAAACCATCTTGAGCCAACCCGTTTAATCTGGGCAGTGAGATTTTGTTTTTAGTTTCTTCCACCGTTGATTTCCCATATTCCTGAATCTCTTTTATGTGTTGTTGAGTCTTTGAATAGGCTTCGTCCCACTCTTTCTTTGTATTCTCCACTTCTTCCACCACCTTGTCCATTTTTTTCTGTTTTTTCAAATTTTCGTTTTAAGTTCTTTTGTCTGTTTGGTTGATGAGAAAATGGAATGGAAATTTTCCGGAATGTTTGATTTCAGGGATCTAACTTCTAAGTGGTCAGCAGAAGGGAAAAGTTGTAGATTTTAGTTATTACTGAAACGGCAGCGCATTGATTTGTAGGGTAAACTACCTATTTAGTCACCCACTTATTACTTTGTTTCTATTGTCATCAATCAATTACTTTGTTTGATTTCTGTTTATCGTTAAAAATTTAACAAAATACAATGAGGAGAAAATTCAAGGGGAAATACAGCAAAAAAAATTATGGTTTTGATTATCGACTCCGTTTTAGTTACTTTGACCCTTCCGTTAATCATTTTAGAAACACTGTTTACTCGTTCGAATCGAGAAAGGTAAATGGTTGAACCAGGAGGAGAAGAGGTGGACATGGAAGTGTCTATAAAGCTAAGCTTCCAACAGGACAAGTTTCTGCAGTGATGAAACTTCATGAATGCGATGACCACGATGAATTGCACAATCCGAAATTTTTTAGCAATGAAACCGATGCATCGACCGATGTGAAGCATCGAATCATCGTGAAGCTTTACGGTTTTTGCTCTCATGCTGGGCATTCATGTTTGGTTTATGAGTATTTAGCAGGAGGAAGCTTAGCAAAGATGCTTGCAAATGAAGAAAGAGCAAGGCAATTGAACTGGAATAAGAGGATTCAAGTTGTTAAAGGGGTGACGAATGCTTTAAGGTATATGCATCACGAATGTTTTGCTCCGGTAATTTATCGAAACGTTTCGAGCAACAATGTTTTGTTCGATTCGGAATACGAAACTCAGGTTCGGGACTTCGGTACCGCTAACATTCTAAACCTTGATTCATCTAAGTTGGCATAATTTGCAGGCACATTTGGATACTTTGCTCCAGGTACACTTTGGGGTGTTTTGCATTGGAAGCGATGTTGGGAAAGCATGAAGAAGATATCTTATTGTCTCGATCACTACCGGAATCGATCACCGGACGTCGTACTCCATTAAAAGACTAGTTGGATCATCGGCTTACGCCTCATGAAAACAGGGTAGCTGAGGAAGTTTTCACGGCGAAGTTGGCATTTTCGTGTCTGCAAACCGTGTCACAATCTTGAACAACCATGCAACAAGTTTCTCCAAAGCTGTCAACTCAAAAACCAACCTCATTGGATCCATTAGAAATGATAAAACTTGGAAAGATAATTTTTTTTAATAGTATGGGATAATTATAACATAGAATTTATTCAGAATATTTTTAAATTATTGACAATGTGCATACATCTTATAAATGCAGCTGTTTAAACCAAGGACCTTAAAAAAATAACAATTCTCCCGTTTAACCATTAAAACCACTTGACAGGTTCTATCGTGAAGAATCTTTTAATTGCACGAAAAGTCAAAATTCTTAATAATAAATATTATATTCACAGAATGCCACTATGATTAAGAGAAATTTTTTTATACACGTGTAAAATTAAAGTACGCACAATTTTATCTACTTGAATTTTAAAATCTAAAATTGAAAATCATGTATCTTAAACTATAAACTTTAAACCCTAACTTTTAAACTTATACTCTAAATCCTATATTTTAAATAAAAATTATTCTTATTTATTACTTTTTTACTAATATATGGGATAAATTGGTCAATTTAATTGGTAGAGGAGTTAATTTGAACTTCACTGTAATAGAATGATTAAATTGATTTATTTAATAGTAGGACTAAAGTGATATTATACGTATATTATAGGGACCTATGAGATACTTTCACTTAATATATATTCGAATAGACAATAATTATAATTAATAATGACATTTGACAATAACCTACACATGATTTGCATAGATTAGAAATTGAACCTGAGTGCTCAAGAACTCATCACCTTTGCCAACTTTGCTACAAACGCATTATAAATTAATTTTTAAATATTTTATTTTTATCGTTAAATTATAATTTTTATTGTAAAGCTTTTAAACACCTTGAATTCATCCCAAATGTTTTAAAAAATGATTGGTTATTTTTGCACTTAATATGACCTTTCAATTCAGAAAAATAAATTTAATATGATCATTTGACCAATATTTTTCATCGTTAACCGTTATAACCCACACGGAGTGATGACTAAATGAGATTTGATGTGAATGAGCATTTTCATCAAGTCATCCTTTGATCATAAATTGGAAAAGTCATGAGTTTTAATATGTTTACCATAGAAGGGTAGGTCTGTTGATGACCAAATGTTTGGTTCTCAATGTGTATATCCATATCACATGAATGGGAAGACTTGACTTCACCCTTTGAACAAAAAGGCATAATTTATAAAATAAAAGTGGATAATGTGAGGTTCATCCCAATATTTGCCTACCCAAATCGCGTGGGAGGCGTGTAAAAGAGAAAGCAGAGCAATAAAATAAACGAGGGATAAACTAACTCCATTCCCCAAGTTTGACTCTTTGACCCATACCAAAATTTATCAAAATTTTTAAGTATAAATATAGTAGGGGTAAAGTACACAAATGGGTCTCCCGATTATAGAGTATTATTTTATGGAGTCTCCCGATTATTAAAAGTGAAAAAATGATCATCTAATAATAATGGTGTAGCTTTGTTGAATCCATCAACTATTAAAAGTTACAAAATGGTCGTCCAACTATTCATATGTTCCAAACTCGTCATTTTTTCATAAAAAAATTGACGATCGTCTAAGTTGAATTTTAACATGTTGACTGGATATGATAATCGTTTAAGAACATGGGATCATATTTTAGCATATCTCAGTCAACAGGTTAACGTCCAACTCAGACTATCATCAATTTTTTAACGAAAAATTGTGAGTTTCGAACATAATAATAGTCGGTGACCATTTTGTAACTTTTAATAGTCAAGGGACTTAACAAAGTAATGACCTATAAACAGATGACCATTTTGTAACTTTTAATAGTCGGGACTCAACAAAGTAACGACATATAGTCATGGGATCATTTGTGTACTTTATCCATATAATAATTGTAATAAAATAATACCATTTTGTTGATTGAGCGATAAAAATGTGTTTTGAAGTAAGTGATTTAACGACATAAAGTATAAGAATCAAAATTTAACTAATGAAAAAGGAGGGATTAACTTCTTAATTTTTACAAACTAGAAGGATGAAATTCATAATTCCATCTTGATTAAAAGGCAAAAATATTTGTCCACTCTTGTAGGGTAGTTTTGGCTTAGGAAATAAAATGCTAATACTTTTGGAGTTCAAAATTGAAGAAATACATTGGATGGGGCAATTTGCTAATTTAATGAAAGATTGAGATTAAAAGCGAAACATTTAATTTAGTTTACCTCTAGATATTTTCTAGCCTTTGTAGATGCATAATTTGTCTATGGCAAAGGGGACATTCTTTTGATTTTGTCGGTAGTGCCCAGCCGCCCAAATTTTTGTGGAATCAAGTTTCGTTTTAATGATTTCATCTTCCAAATTATATTGTTGAAAGCAAGGGCAATTTCATAACTTAATTATGGCATATTTTCAATATGTTCATTAAACTATTAATTTTATCAAACATATCATTTAATTATTACAAAAATATCAATTAAACCATATTTCATCAACATTTAATTGAGAAGTTAACATGACAATTAAATAAAATTAATATAATTACATCATTTGACATTAAATGTCTACACCCCTGATACTCATGATGCTCGAACCCAAAACATCAAGGAATAACAATAATTTCTTTATCACCGAGGTCGCTTGATTCGGACCAGCTTCTCATTTTAAATGTTAATGACATACAATTTAATTTGGTATCATTTTAGTAGTTAAGTGGCGTGATTGACAAAAATGATATATCAGTGATCAAATTGAAATCGTTCTATGCTTAAGTGGCGATTCATGCAGTTTACTCAAAAATTAAAGTTGATTAATCACGCTAATAAGTGATCCCGTCAAAAACATCGAAGAATATAAACTAACCACTGAATGATTATTTGAAATTGTGTGCAGTTATGGACCATTCAACAAACACCTAAAGTATTGGAAAATGAAATGCAAAAACATGTTTCACTTCAAAAGGTTAGGTCCTCCAACAATCGTCACTCCGAAAAAAACAAAGCAAAGATAATAAAAAGCATTGGAAAGAAAATGAAAAGAAACAATGTTCATCATCAAAGTTAGGTCCTTCATCCTAGGTATTGAGACAAGCACCATTGGCTAAAGGTTTTTGGGACATAAATGACAGGTATGGTCAAAATATTGGAAAAAGGGATTCTAATTTGACAAGTTGTTATAGAGAATTTATAAATTTGAGATCATTTGATCTGTACCCGTGTCTAATGATAAAAATTATATTTATTTATTTAAATTTAATTAGATATGTGAATTTTTAATGTATTTTTATATTAATTTAAATAATAAAATATATTTTTGAAAACTCGAATCCGATTATATCCGTATCTAAATATATATATTTTTTATGACCATTCCTTTGTTCTAAAGTTTAAGCCAAATTTGCAGTTCAATTTGTTGATACTTTGGCCTACAAACCGTGGATAATCACCAACTCAAATACAGCTCACCTAACATGCTATTTACTTGAGACTTTCGGTCCACTTTTTTATATTAATATTAATCATATAATTGGATTTTCAGTTGTCATCATAGATGAAATTTTAAATTAAATAAATTAAAATTAAGAAAATAAAATCGATTACTTGATGACACATGTCATAAATGATAGTATCATCATCTAATTAAATGATTAAATGATTAAATTAAATTAAAATTACAATCATATTAATATAATGTATAAGTAACAAGGATCAAATATAATTTTATTAGTTTTTAACTACACGTCACTCTATCCTTTAATTGTTAATTGCAAGTAGCATAATTAGCATCATTTAATGAATCGATTGATAAAATTAAAAAGAGTAATATCAAATTATAATCTTTCTATAATTAACTAGTCACGTCATTGTTGATAACATATTCTTATGACTTTTAAGAAAAATAATATTTTTTTAATTATTAAGTTCGTTTAATAAATTTGAAATTATGAAAAATTAT